CATCTTCTTCTGTAGCAGTAGTTGTTTTTAGTTCTATAACCGTTTCGCTGATTCTCTGATGCAAGAGGTTTGTATATGGGTTTAGTTCTCTGTGTCCTTGCACCTAAGGTTTTGTCGACTTATTGTTCTAACCCGCCATCTGTTTTATACTTAGGTGGTTGTCGAGGTGAGATTGTTTTATGTTGATACCTAATTAGCTGAGAAGTTTTTGTTCGTTTTGTTGTCGTCGGTTGTTTGGTTGGGCCGCAGTTCCGTGGTTTTCTCTTAATCGTGGCAGTTTTCTGGATTTTCTGAATTCATTGATGTTTGTATGATATTTGTCATACAATACAAGTCTTGTACAATTTTCATTGACTTGGTTAAGCCGAATAACCAGTTCTAATTAGCAGATTGTTTGTATGACACTCCCTGTACTGCCCTTGTTTACTTCATCTTCTTGTCACTGTCCTACACCGCTGAACATACACATATGTCGGGGGAGCTTAAGTGCAGTAAGTTTGAAGCCAGCCTCCGTATCACACCACTTTCACGGGGTTTCAACTCTACATGAAACCCGACCGCTGAGTTGTGCGCTATTTTTCCTTATTAGGGAGACCACTGAAGTTTGTCCCATGCTTGGCTCTGTCCTGATGCAGAGTTAACCGGTATCAATGTCTTCTTGCAATACAAATATAGAAAAGTAATTCCTGTAGCTTGAATAATGAGTTTTAGATGGAACTTACCGAAATTGAATGCAAGATTCAAGCTATTTGGAGGGGTTTGCAGTATTTGGGCTACAGCCTTTCGTAGTAGCACGTTTACAAGCAAACGCAGCTCCATAGGCCGTGATTATATTGTAACAGATGCACCTAGTGCCCGCGTCACCTCTGGTGTAATGGAATTTATTATGTACTGGTGTATAACGGTACTGGCTGCAAAACAGCTGTGAGAGCAATATTCCATTATGACCGTGATATTTGGCCTTTTCTGAACAAATGATTCGAACAAGTGATTACCAGTCTGATAAAATAGCAATGGATAGCTGATTGTCCATCCGCGAGTGCATCGTGATAGGTCAAAAGGCCTATGACAGCAAATAAATCTTCACCAAGATTAGGTGCTTGGGACATCTACTAAACAACCATGGTCTACCACAAGAAGCTACAATGTAGTAGTGACTGATTGAATCGCTTACAATCTACACCCTTGTAGCTGTTCCGTATACTCCTCGCTGTACTTGGCTGGAAATCCTACCGGACGTAACACATGACCAATCGTAGTAGCGAGTTTCCGAGACAGACTGCCTCTAAGCTTATCTGTCGTTAGCTGTGCTTGTGCTGCGTGAAGCTTGGCAGAATGTTCGGTCAATCCTTTTGGTGACTTTCCACTCCAGCACCTTGCCTGAATGTGCTTATCTCAATTACAATGATGCAACCTTCTTCCCCTTATCTAGGGNTGAATGTGCCTGATGCAACCTTCTTCCCCTTATCTAGGGACAGCCTTTACAGCAGTAGGACTTCACAATTCCCGTTATCCGCACCGATGGTTATATGGTTAACATGTATCTTACTCGATCAACTAATAGGTGGACCTTAACCACGTGTTAACCTTAGGATTTCGCTATTTTCCATCATCCATTTTGAATATAACCGCCGTTTAGCTACCAACTTTCGCAGCTCCCATTTTCCGATGGTAGAATCCGTATGACCGATCATATGCCACAACATTGCATTGCCATATGTCCCCAGGTTTGTTTGTGACTTGGTATCAAGTGATTGAATCCATAGCGCGTCAGCCGTTCCACTGGCACACATGCAGTTGCTTGATTTTGTTTATGCTAGTACGACTAATGCTATGGGAATACTTACTTGGCAACGTTACAACTTAACTACTTCCAAATGTTTACTAGTGGTATACCCAATCTAACTTCCAGATTTCTCCAAGGCAAATGGAAAGTTTTGTTCGGTCTCGATTCATCCGTCCCCCCCCCCTTCATGGTATCCCATCAGGAGATTCAAGATAAGACTCTTCATTGCAAGCTTCTTGTATGCTCTGTGTAACGGCAGTACACACAAATATCGTGTACTACTCCCTGTTAGCTGGTTGTTAGCTTGAGCCACATGTACCGCATTCAACGATACCGTTTTTTTTCTGGGTCGTACTTTAGTGTCTTTCAAACTTGAATCCACGAGCAAGTTACAGAGGCAGGCTCGTGTGGCGTAACGTCGTGGAGCAAAACTCCTGAGAAATGTCTGCGCGGCTATCAATGATTTCTTAGTTTTTATTGTGGATTTCATATTTTCTGTACATGGAAGAGTTTACCCTTTCGATAATGCGTATTATTGAGCTCCACCGGTACTTTTATCCAGGCCTTACACATATTTTATTCACTCATAAGAGAGCATGCAGCTGAAATTTTTGAGGTGATTCCGGCTACATATATAATGTGAATGAACAATCAGATACCTGAGAGTCGACTTTGACCGCTGACCTCCTGCTTCTCGGGCGAACGGTCCATCAGCTGAGCTCTAGGGGACGCTGCACCATGTCATATTTGTGCAAACTTCACACATGTTATTCCAGCCATGTCACGGACGTTGGACTTATAACTCGGTGGTTGTGACGTTCACGTCTACTGTGTACTTATCCCTTCCATCCCGTATTTGTTTGCGTGCAGAAGTGTGGTGGCTAGAATCAGTGTACCAATTTTACACGGTCGTACGTATTTCAGGCCAACCATCTTTCGTCCCGAAGCCATTCCTTGGCGATACTGGTAGTAACATTATTATCTCGAATCAGAACGACTCATACCCGTAGCCACATATGCGATTTGGTGCGTGTGTGTGTATTCAGGTCCTCGACCATCGACTTCTCAGGACCATTGCTCTCACAGTCTTACGCCAAGGATGGCGTTCTGGCGTGTTTGTCAACTGGTGCTTGATGGTGCGGCGGTTACTTCACTTTAGGATTACACCACCACGGCGTTTCGAGATGCCGTCTACCAAGAAGAGTTTTGTTTTCCGAATAACCTACACTGAAAGGCGGTCAACATATGATTGCATAGGAGGGAATGGAGGATAAAACAAAAAATCTCGGTACTGCGGATGTGGACCGCCTTGGAGGGTGGAGCCCACGTGTCTCTACTTGTGCTTAACTACAGATACTGTAAAATATGACAGGAAACCGAAGTCAGGGACGTTTATTTTGCCAGTTTCTAACCGGATATTCTGGTTGACTGTTAAACTTACATGCAAGTCGTATGGTTGTGTTGGATTGGAAATGATCCCCTTTCCTCTGTTCTTTATCTTTGTACATCATACTTTTACGGAAGTGAAGCACTGGTGTTCCTGCAATAATGTTGCTGCTTGTAACAAGAAAAACTTAGCTGTTGACCGGCTCTGGTGTTATTGTCACACCAACAAATTTGGCCTCAATGCGTTTGACCGTTGAGTACAACTGAAAATCACAAACGTCTGAAAAAGTTGCGTAATGCTCTGCCGTATGTGGCTTTGCCACTAGGTTGGAGTATATTATTCAATATGTCATACCCATTGAAAGATTATACGCGCTAAATTTCTAGGTCCCATCATTTTCCATCCGTGTCGCTCCACGCCAGCCGCATCTTGGTCAACGCATTATGAGATTGCCTATCTATTTGTTATTATTTTAAACTCAGATTATCGCCTTTCCGAGTGTTAGGCCTACGATCCCGAAACCGTCCGTCCTTTTTTCCCTTGTTATCCTTCTGTTCGAGCCGCCTGCTGCTAGTTGCTGCTGCACTATTCGCTTCCACTCTCACTGTTTTGCTTTGGTTGTCTTGATCACTTTCCATTCCTCTTCAAGCTCGATTTCGCTGTCCACTGTATTTGATCAGTCCAAACTCGAGATAGCTCAGTTGTTACGACCCGAACTTACTGGCCGGAAAATTTTGGCTTCGAACTTAACCCAGGCATCTCGACTGCCCCTGTCTAGACTTGGAAATTCCGGCACCATCACAGCCCTCGTTCTTCCTGTGAACGGCAGGGCACATAGGCACCGAAAGGCTGTTTCATCTAAACTATTATTATTTTTATTATAATTCACTGCCTTATATCGATGCTACCCCGCCGCTTACTGCAAATAATCGTGTTTATTTCACTATCGCTAGCATACTAACAATAATTACTCGGTGTTTCTTCCGAATCCTCTTTTTGACATGCCCAACATCTCAATATCCTATCATTCCAATCACTTCGAATTCGAACCAAACAATCAACTCGTTGGCGGGTCGCAGATGGGTCTAAACCAAGTACACCGGGAAACGCTACTGGAGACTGTGAAACATCAATCAATCCACTATGTGCTGAACGTTTACTTTTTGAATGCATGGAGTTTCTCTTGAATTGATCTGACCCGTACAGATAACCATAGCACACCCGTTGTGTTTTCCTAACCCAAGCATGTACGTTGTACCACGAGTGATAATGAAGATAGTTGGTCGTTGGTTTGTTCGCTGAGCTGGGCGACTTGACCGCAAACGTTTCATCATCAGCCGAGCGTTGTGGCGCGTAGCGTTGGGTAGTCGCTCAGGATAATGCTCAGAAAACGTAATCCAATTACATCTATCACTGTAACCTCATGTTTGAATGTTGAATCCATGCCTGACAAAAGGTCTCACTTTGGGAGTGAACTTCCTTCGGAGTTTCAAATATCCTTAAATGTGCTGTTCGTCAGGAAAGCATTTAACTTGTACATTAGTTGGGAAAAAATAAAATATGTACGGCATCTAGATGATCAGCGTTCTTTGTGTGGTGTTAATCAATGATGTCCTGGTCTCAATACCGTTTTCTGCGTATCATGATCTTCATCATCGGTGCATACCACTACCAGATTCACCACTTTCTATTCACTATAGAGGTGGAATATTCCAGTCGCACCCTCAATGGCGCTCGTACATCCAAGGTATCGCCTTCAGTGCAAAGCTCCCTTCCCAATCTTTTCACTTAAAAGTCCACTGACCACCCTGTATTTCGGCATCAATTATGTCACCTCCCGCCTCCAATGCGCAGCTACCTTCCCCATCTCGCCGAATCATCGGTGAGCGAAATCGTGGCAGCTATAAACACCATACAATAAGTACGCGGTTCTTACAGCTGATAGTGATGATGATCATGAAATATTCTCCTCCATTCCAAATGCGTTTCTTCCTTTACCTTACCGTCTCCTCTTTCCTAATCATTTTCCGGTTAATTTTTTCAACCCATTGCATTTATTGCTTCCGGTTCATCTTACAAATGGCGTTTTTCTATGGTTACTTTCTTTCAGGACCCTGGAACCGGTGGGACAAAGATGAAGGCAAAGAAGTCCAACGAGAAAGACGAATCCGACAAGGAGGACGAAGAGAAGGAAAAATTCAAGAGCAGTCTAAAGAGTGCAATCATTATCCAGCGACCTAACATATCTTGGGATGATGTGGTTGGCTTGAGTGCAGCTAAGGAGGCTTTGAAAGAGGCCGTCATCCTACCCATCAAATTCCCCCACCTTTTTACCGGCAGCCGAACTCCGTGGCGAGGAATTTTGCTTTATGGAGTAAGTTAACGTGTGGTTTTCGCATCTCTCGCAGTGCAGCTTCCATATGGCGTTAGTGAGAACCATCCTGGGGTTCCAGAGTACATCGACAACTTAATTGTTCGTTCGCACTCTTATGTGAATTGTAAAGAATATGCACTGATATTCACCGTGGGGTCGGCTGAGATGACTTACTCCTCAAGAAGGAACTTTCCAACTAGGGTCACTTGAGCTGTTACCCGCGGATGGTGTTTTTTGTTCAAAGAAACCACTCCGTATCATTTGTTGAGGCGTATATGCATCATAGCAGCCAGCATTTCAAACACCGATACCGTCTGATTTTGTTCAGCCGCTACCAATCCGATGATTCTCGGTCCCATAAAACATAGTGGCTTTACTACTGTGTCTAATCTGGACAGGCCGAGCTCTGCGTTCTGCAGCGAAGTCGATGTGCTTGTTGATCAGACTCTTACTCCTTGAGCATACGCTGCGAGTTTGATAGAAATAAAGCTTATTGATATCCACTTGGATTTTATTGAGTTGTGTTCTTATGCATCCAGGAGTGAACCTCGCACTACCCCCACTAATCATAATTTTCCAATCTACCGCCGCTGTTGCGCTTCCCTGTTCAACCAGCTTTTAAAACGCTACGAAGGTGGTACAGCATTCTAACCGGACCTACCGCATTCATGCTTTTTTCAGCCTCCGGGAACTGGTAAATCATTTCTGGCCAAGGCTGTGGCTACGGAAGCAAATAATTCCACGTTCCTATCCGTGTCCAGTTCCGACTTGGTTAGCAAGTGGCTCGGAGAATCGGAGAAATTGGTCAAAACTCTTTTCGCCATGGCTCGAGAACAAAAGCCGAGCATAGTATTCATCGATGAAATCGACTCCATCTGTGGCTCTCGTAACGAAAGCGAGTCTGAATCCGCTAGACGCATCAAGACAGAATTTCTTGTTCAGATGCAAGTAAGTGAATGCTTTACTGGCTCGTACTCTTAGTTCTTTGGCTGTAATAAATTCGATCACCTCACATTATATGGTTCCCGCGAAGTAACTTTTGAATGGAGCCTATGTCAAGATAATACCATAAAATCTGTGGCATGCCTCTGAATCCATCCGTGTAAGCAGCTAACCTCATACCTCGTCAGGTCAAACTTGTGGGTTGATTCGCTGTAAAACATTTAGAGATATTACATGGACTGTTAGCTGTGGCCAACCTCGAAGTTTCTAAAGGCCCTGTGCTGTGCGTCTAGTCGTGTCAACACTAATTACCCTGGTGCTTGTTCGGCTTCCAAAATGTATGTCATCTGTTCGCTATGCATGCAGCGTGACTTACGTTGGTACCACCAATACAGTGCATACCATTTTCCGTCTGTAAGTCCAGACAACCCAGGAGGAATACTCAGAGAACGCATTTTGCTACTCTTCCGCTTATTACCCTGTGTAAACGATGTCTCTTTCCAGTCCCATACTCTTTCTGTCAGTCTTTGGTTGTATTGGTACTTGAGTATCGTCAGCTGATTCACTACAGTGTGGTGGTTAGTCTGTAGGAAGACGGCCTTAAGAACTCATCTGACTTCTCTCCAAATTTATTTTGGCCCACCGAATTCACCGTAACTCAGAGGGTTGAGGCGTTAGCTTCCCATGGAAAAGTTTGTAGTCAGAGAGCAATCCTGTCGTCTTCGTTTTTCCTGCTAGGGTTGCGTATATCAGTCATCTACATACTAAAAGGATACCATGGTTGGATCTTTTGGCTTTTTCAACTTACGAATCCTTATTCTGATGATCTGGGCATTGGTGCATAATTGTGATGCCTTGAGTGTTTTCGCGGATCATCGTCAAAGCCTAGGAACGATAGCCGTATGCAAACCACTCATGGTTCCATACAGGCTATGGACACGTTGAACGTATGCTTCCCCATAACATTTGCATTGGCGTTACTTACTTGTCTCGCTCTATATAACTGTCAACCCGATAGAGGCGCTTCCATCACGTGTGTTTCATTCCAACATCCGAATCACCCTGTAAGTCCATGGGATCTCAACTTGGTACCAGAAGTACTTGTCAGTTCTACCCTCCCCCACCATTTTCTTCCAACCCAACACACTAATCGACTGTGAAACAACAATCCCGCTTTTTCTTACCCTCAGAGAAAGGCGTCATTTATGGTTGATAGACGTACTATATGTTACTGCTCTACTGAGCTCCTATCAAACTCAACTATGAGTTGTTCATTCACTGGTTTCAGGGTGCAGTTTGCAATCGCAGTGCGCAAGGGTCCAGTCGGAAACTGGTTTGTGTCATTACGAAGCCCGGCCATTTTATCTAACCTATGGAAGTACCAGACTGTCTAGTTGTGTAGTATCGTTGCATGTTCTGGTGGTTTTGTTGCTCCTCTGTTGTAGGGTTCGGTGTGCGTGATGTTTTCAGTCAGTCGCGCTGTAAAGAAGTGCAAGTTGGACTTGTGTACAATTGTACGTGATAGTCTGTTCGTTATAATGCACACGTACATTCAGAACACCAGGNTACTGCGGATGTGGACCGCCTTGGAGGGTGGAGCCCACGTGTCTCTACTTGTGCTTAACTACAGATACTGTAAAATATGACAGGAAACCGAAGTCAGGGACGTTTATTTTGCCAGTTTCTAACCGGATATTCTGGTTGACTGTTAAACTTACATGCAAGTCGTATGGTTGTGTCGGATTGGAAATGATCCCCTTTCCTCTCTGTTCTTTATCTTTGTACATCATACTTTTACGGAAGTGAAGCACTGGCGTTCCTGCAATAATGTTGCTGCTTGTAACAAGAAAAACTTAGTTGTTGACAGGCTCTGGTGTTATTGTCACACCAACAAATTTGGCCTCAATGCGTTTGACCGTTGAGTACAACTGAAAATCACAAACGTCTGAAAAAGTTGCGTAATGCTCTGCCGTATGTGGCTTTGCCACTAGGTTGGAGTATATTATTCAATATGTCATACCCATTGAAAGATTATACGCGCTAAATTTCTAGGTCCCATCATTTTCCATCCGTGTCGCTCCACGCCAGCCGCATCTTGGTCAACGCATTATGAGATTGCCTATCTATTTGTTATTATTTTAAACTCAGATTATCGCCTTTCCGAGTGTTAGGCCTACGATCCCGAAACCTTCCGTCCTTTTTTCCTTTGTTATCCTTTTGTTCGAGCCGCCTGCTGCTAGTTGCTGCTGCACTATTCGCTTCCACTCTCACTGTTTTGCTTTGGTTGTCTTGATCACTTTCCATTCCTGTTCAAGCTCGATTTCGCTGCCCACTGTATTTGATCAGTCCAAACTCGAGATAGCTCAGTTGTTACGACCCGAACTTACTGGCCGGAAAATTTTGGCTTCGAACTTAACCCAGGCATCTCGACTGCTCCTGTCTAGACTTAGAAATTCCGGCACCATCACAGCCCTCGTTCTTCCTGTGAACGGCAGGGCACATAGGCACCGAAAGGCTGTTTCATCTAAACTATTATTATTTTTATTATAATTCACTGCCTTATATCGATGCTACCCCGCCGCTTACTGCAAATAATCGTGTTTATTTCACTATCGCTAGCATACTAGCAATAATTACTCGGTGTTTCTTCCGAATCCTCTTTTTGACATGCCCAACGTCTCAATATCCTGTCATTCCAATCACTTCGAATTCGAACCAAACAATCAACTCGTTGGCGGGTCGCAGATGGGTCTAAACCAAGTACACCGGGAAACGCTACTGGAGACTGTGAAACATCAATTAATCCACTATGTGCTGAACGTTTACTTTTTGAATGCATGGAGTTTCTCTTGAATTGATCTGACCCGTACAGATAACCATAGCACACCCGTTGTGTTTTCCTAACCCAAGCATGTACGTTGTACCACGAGTGATAATGAAGATAGTTGGTCGTTGGTTTGTTCGCTGAGCTGGGCGACTTGACCGCAAACGTTTCATCATCAGCCGAGCGTTGTGGCGCGTAGCGTTGGGTAGTCGCTCAGGATAATGCTCAGAAAACGTAATCCAATTACATCTATCACTGTAACCTCATGTTTGAATGTTGAATCCATGCCTGACAAAAGGTCTCACTTTGGGAGTGAACTTCCTTCGGAGTTTCAAATATCCTTAAATGTGCTGTTCGTCAGGAAAGCATTTAACTTGTACATTAGTTGGGAAAAAATAAAATATGTACGGCATCTAGATGATCAGCGTTCTTTGTGTGGTGTTAATCAATGATGACCCGTCCTCAATACCGTTTTCTGCCTATCATGATCGTCATCATCGGTGCATAACACTACCAGATTCACCACTTTCTATTCACTATAGAGGTGGAATATTCCAGTCGCACCCTCAATGGCGCTCGTACATCCAAGGTATCGCCTTCAGTGCAAAGCTCGTCGCACCCTCAATGGCGCTCGTACATCCAGTGCAAAGCTTCCTTCCCAATCTTTTCACTTAAAAGTCCACTGACCACCCTGTATTTCGGCATCAATTATGTCACCTCCCGCCTCCAATGCGCAGCTACCTTCCCCATCTCGCCGAATCATCGGTGAGCGAAATCGTGGCAGCTATAAACACCATACAATAAGTACGCGGTTCTTACAGCTGATAGTGATGATGATCATGAAATATTCTCCTCCATTCCAAATGCGTTTCTTCCTTTACCTTACCGTCTCCTCTTTCCTAATCATTTTCCGGTTAATTTTTTCAACCCATTGCATTTATTGCTTCCGGTTCATCTTACAAATGGCGTTTTTCTATGGTTACTTTCTTTCAGGACCCTGGAACCGGTGGGACAAAGATGAAGGCAAAGAAGTCCAACGAGAAAGACGAATCCGACAAGGAGGACGAAGAGAAGGAAAAATTCAAGAGCAGTCTAAAGAGTGCAATCATTATCCAGCGACCTAACATATCTTGGGATGATGTGGTTGGCTTGAGTGCAGCTAAGGAGGCTTTGAAAGAGGCCGTCATCCTACCCATCAAATTCCCCCACCTTTTTACCGGCAGCCGAACTCCGTGGCGAGGAATTTTGCTTTATGGAGTAAGTTAACGTGTGGTTTTCGCATCTCTCGCGGTGCAGCTTCCATATGGCGTTAGTGAGAACCATCCTGGGGTTCCAGAGTACATCGACAACTTAATTGTTCGTTCGCACTCTTATGTGAATTGTAAAGAATATGCACTGATATTCACCGTGGGGTCGGCTGAGATGACTTACTCCTCAAGAAGGAACTTTCCAACTAGGGTCACTTGAGCTGTTACCCGCGGATGGTGTTTTTTGTTCAAAGAAACCACTCCGTATCATTTGTTGAGGCGTATATGCATCATAGCAGCCAGCATTTCAAACACCGATACCGTCTGATTTTGTTCAGCCGCTACCAATCCGATGATTCTCGGTCCCATAAAACATAGTGGCTTTACTACTGTGTCTAATCTGGACAGGCCGAGCTCTGCGTTCTGCAGCGAAGTCGATGTGCTTGTTGATCAGACTCTTACTCCTTGAGCATACGCTGCGAGTTTGATAGAAATAAAGCTTATTGATATCCACTTGGATTTTATTGAGTTGTGTTCTTATGCATCCAGGAGTGAACCTCGCACTACCCCCACTAATCATAATTTTCCAATCTACCGCCGCTGTTGCGCTTCCCTGTTCAACCAGCTTTTAAAACGCTACGAAGGTGGTACAGCATTCTAACCGGACCTACCGCATTCATGCTTTTTTCAGCCTCCGGGAACTGGTAAATCATTTCTGGCCAAGGCTGTGGCTACGGAAGCAAATAATTCCACGTTCCTATCCGTGTCCAGTTCCGACTTGGTTAGCAAGTGGCTCGGAGAATCGGAGAAATTGGTCAAAACTCTTTTCGCCATGGCTCGAGAACAAAAGCCGAGCATAGTATTCATCGATGAAATCGACTCCATCTGTGGCTCTCGTAACGAAAGCGAGTCTGAATCCGCTAGACGCATCAAGACAGAATTTCTTGTTCAGATGCAAGTAAGTGAATGCTTTACTGGCTCTTACCCTTAGTTCTTTGGCTGCAATAAATTCGATCACCTCACGTTATATGGTCCCCGCGAAGTAACTTTTGAATGGAGCCTATGTCAAGATAATACCATAAAATCTGTGGTATGCCTCTGAATCCATCCGTGTAAGCAGCTAACCTCATACCTCGTCAGGTCAAACTTGTGGGTTGATTCGCTGTAAAACATTTAGAGATATTACATGGACTGTTAGCTGTGGCCAACCTCGAAGTTTCTAAAGGCCCTGTGCTGTGCGTCTAGTCGTGTCAACACTAATTACCCTGGTGCTTGTTCGGCTTCCAAAATATATGTCATCTGTTCGCTGTGCATGCAGCGTGAATTACGTTGGTACCACCAATACAGTGCATACCATTTTCCGTCTGTAAGTCCAGACAACCCAGGAGGAATACTCAGAGAACGCATTTTGCTACTCTTCCGCTTATTACCCTGTGTAAACGATGTCTCTTTCCAGTCCCATACTCTTTCTGTCAGTCTTTGGTTGTATTGGTACTTGAGTATCGTCAGCTGATTCACTACAGTGTGGTGGTTAGTCTGTAGGAAGACGGCCTTAGGGGCTCATCTGACTTCTCTCCAAATTTATTTTGGCCCACCGAATTCACCGTAACTCAGAGGGTTGAGGCGTTAGCTTCCCATGGAAAAGTTTGTAGTCAGAGAGCAATCCTGTCGTCTTCGTTTTTCCTGCTAGGGTTGCGTATATCAGTCATCTACATACTAAAAGGATACCATGGTTGGATCTTTTGGCTTTTTCAACTTACGAATCCTTATTCTGATGATCTGGGCATTGGTGCATAATTGTGATGCCTTGAGTGTTTTCGCGGATCATCGTCAAAGCCTAGGAACGATAGCCGTATGCAAACCACTCATGGTTCCATACAGGCTATGGACACGTTGAACGTATCCTTCCCCATAACATTTGCATTGGCGTTACATACTTGTGTCGCTCTATATAACTGTCAACCCGATAGAGGCGCTTCCATCACGTGTGTTTCATTCCAACATCCGAATCACCCTGTAAATCCATGGGATCTCAACTTGGTACCAGAAGTACTTGTCAGTTCTACCCTCCCCCACCATTTTCTTCCAACCCAACACACTAATCGACTGTGAAACAACAATCCCGCTTTTTCTTACCCTCAGAGAAAGGCGTCATTTATGGTTGATAGACGTACTATATGTTACTGCTCTACTGAGCTCCTATCAAATTCAACTATGAGTTGTTCATTCACTGGTTTCAGGGTGCAGTTTGCAATCGCAGTGCGCAAGGGTCCAGTCGGAAACTGGTTTGTGTCATTACGAAGCCCGGCCATTTTATCTAACCTATGGAAGTACCAGACTGTCTAGTTGTGTAGTATCCGTTGCATGTTCTGGTGGTTCTGTTGCTCCTCTGTTGTAGGGTTCGGTGTGCGTGATGCTTTCAGTCAGTCGCGCTGTAAAGAAGTGCAAGTTGGACTTGTGTACAATTGTACGTGATAGTCTGTTCGTTATAATGCACACGTACATTCAGAACACAAGGCCTGAGTAATGTTGGGCAAGAATTCCGGAGAGCACCAATGGTTCCGGCTCGGTTCTGCTTTTTTTACAAACCGAACTAACTATTCGGTGTTTCCTTTCAAGTCTCGTTATAATGCACACGTACATTCAGAACACCAGGCCTGAGTAATGTTCGGCAAGAATTCCGGAGAGCACCAATGGCTCCGACTCGGTTCTGCTTTTTTTTACAAACCGAAATAACTATTCGGTGTTTCCTTTCAAGTCCGAAAGCTGTTAAACAGTGTGGCCGAATGGTGACAGAACACCAGAACATGGGATACCGCACCACTAAGGAGATATCCTAGACATGTACATAGAGCAACAATAGGTACAGAGAATCTTCTCTATCACGATTGTAGATTCCAAAATGTCTGCACTGCTTGTACGGATGTTTCACATAAGGATACCCGAAAAGTGTATAAATAGAATTGCCAGTGGAATACCTTCAGTCACAGCTCAAAACATATGTGAAGTAGATTTGAAACAGCAGTGAGAAACGATAGTTACCCTGGCAACCAAGCCAGAGCCTCTCACTTACGGTGCACTTATATGAACGTGGTGGACGCAGCTCAACATTTGACACGTTCGTCATAGGTAAATGGGTTTTTGGCATCCCACACCACACCTGAGACTCACCCTAGGCACACGTTTATGGCAAGCTAGCTTTTGACATTATTCAGCTTGGCCACAGAAAGTTAACTCTGGCACCGTCCTAAGCTTAAGACAGGACTTTGTTGACGTATCGCCGTCGGACTGCTGTGTTCACTGGTCGCCGACTGATCCGATGCAACCAGCACGAAAATGGCCTCAGTCGGGGCACATCTGATTTCTTCAGTTTCCAGGTCAGACTTATCCAGTGATATCCTTGCGCTGTGCACAGTTAAGCTTCCTGGCTCGAAGTTGGTGTTCGTTGAATTGGCGAACTCCAGTTTGCATCGTTCCCCCTATGACATCTTGTTTTTTGCTTCTCTTTTCTAATCCTATAGATCCACCTCAACATCCTTTAGGCTTTTGACACAAATATCCAGATATCGAATCTTTTGTTTGGCAGCTTTATGATTCCTCGTATTCAGCTGGCTGTATAGGAGTGGCTTTAGAATATTGTTCCCGTTCACTCAACAAACATGTCTCAGTCACCATAGACGGCTGAATTTGCTCGTTTACTCCACTCCATTACAACGCGCCCGTCGGTTGACACTCGTTGAGTCTAGTGATGGCTGCTCAAGAGGTTGCGTCGGTGCGTGGTCAATTTTCCAGGTGCATGCAAGAAGACGTCGCCTTGTAGACGTGCATCTTGGTCTCCATCCGCAGAATCCACATCCCCCATACATGTTTCTAGAGTTTTCCAGAAGCCTTGGCAAAGAGGATCCCAGCTCACGATCGACGGTCGAGTCAACAAACTACTTTCGAGGTAGCAGTCCGCAAACTCTCTTCCAGTCTTGGTGCAGAGCCATGATTTTCAGGCCTTACCGTGCAGCAACACATGAAAGCTTTTCAGCTAGGCCCATCAACTGATCATAAATATGTGCGGACAGCACACAGTTGTCCACAAACATGTGAACTCGGGCTTTTGTGTGATGGGTTAAGTTGCACCCACCAAAATGTCCAATATTTAATGACGTCCATTATGCCGATACTCGAACTGTAAGCCGGCTTAGTTGTTCATGCAAGCCACATCCACTATAACTATTAGATAGATACTGATGAGAATGGGGGCAATGGAGTACTCTTGTTCAGTTTCACATCACTCTCGTTTTGAACAGTCGTCCTCCTGTCCTGGCGCAATTATTCATGTGAGTCCACACCAAAGGGGGGAAGCACTGGACTCGAGTTTCGCTCTTGTTAGAGCTCATCAGCAGTGCATATCCAATGGCCGTGCCGGGGTTTGAACTCCGGACACCTGACATGCGAGGCGAACGTGTTACCACTATTCCACCAGCGCACGTTGGACGCATCTGAATTCCCACGTCTGAACGGGTGGACGTGTTCTCACTTGAGCGATATGATTAGTATGCCCGACACATCATCGATACGACGACCCAGCGTCCAACGTGCGCTGGTGGAATAGTGGTAACACGTTCGCCTCGCATGTCAGGTGTCCGGAGTTCAAACCCCGGCACGGCCATTGGATATGCACTGCTGATGAGCTCTAACAAGAGCGAAACTCGAGTCCAGTGCTTCCCCCCCCNACTCCACTCCATTACAACGCGCCCGTCGGTTGACACTCGTTGAGTCTAGTGATGGCTGCTCAAGAGGTTGCGTCGGTGCGTGGTCAATTTGTATTATGCCAGTAAGAATTTCAAGGTCACTTGGATTAGATCCTTCGCTCTTATTCTGTCATGTGAACTTCGGCTGGGGTTGGTGAATTATGGCCGACAGCCGAAGTTGGAAAGAACCATCCTTAATACTTTTCCGTTGACGGAGTCGAGGGCCACGTTAGCTCTATGGGGAAGGCATGGAACCCTATCCGCGGAATTTTCAACTTGAGGCTCTGATGCATCAGATATCATGCTCACTGTGCTAGGACCATCGTGAGATCTATATTGTTCTTCGATCATTTCAGCCGTCAGGCGATTGACTAGCACGCGTACCAGCAGTTCAGCAGACTGATCTCTCTGTGTGCGCCAGATCAAGTTGAGTTGCACCATTAGAGCATTCTTCAATTCTGGTGAGACTTTCTCTTCCTGCTAAATCATGTTGTGAAGATGCGCATTCCCCAGAGTCGGACCATACTTGGCATTTTTGCCAAGAGCATGTTTTCTCTAGCTGCATTGCATCCCAACATTTTATGTTCACCTTCCCTGTCTCTCCAATAGACACAGGAATGTCAAGAAACAGTTTTACCTCTTGTTGAAGCTGTTTATCCATTGCACTCCAGCCGATGCTCGTCGGTGGTTTCAATAGTTTATTGAGGTATTTGTATCCACTATTTCAGCAGGTGAAATCAGTTTCCCTCCCATGCCAGCATATTGGAGAGTTTGGACCGGCTTGATGCTCAGCGTATAGATGGCTCTCAGAAACCGTGAGATTCTTTATGCTTCCGTCGGACAGCGAATCCCACCGCCTGCTCACTTTGCTTCCCCAACCATTCGTCCTTGCTGCAATCACCTGGAGCCGTTCGGATGGGCAAGAGATTCGGCAAGTGCTTCTCGCCACCAGCATTTCATATACCAGTATTTGGCGTCAAACTATTCAGGGCGTCTCGGGGCAGTCATCCGATCCAATTGACTACTGTCGTCATCAGCTGGCGCTTCAAGTTGTGTCATGCTTCTGTCAGTGAGCTTGATTGATTGAAGGCTGTCAATGCGGACTCCAGCTGATGATTGTACATCGACCTGTATTTCGGATCTTTGAGACAGTTCACATTAACTGTTATGCACTCGCTGATGCAGCTCGCCCGGATTTTAAGCTTCGTTCGAATAAGCTGGTTGCCCGTTCCACAGTAGGATCCTCAGACCTCAATCCTTCGGATTCATCCCGGAAGCGGATTAACCGTGGAACATGAGTTTCTCACGCTTGGGGACGATCTAGCTCATCCATATTGTTCATGTAGAACAGGATGTCTGATATAGATTTCTGACTGAGGCAAGACGGTTGGACAAAGCGGCAAACCCGCAGCTCAGATAAAGGTCGTCAATGACGAACCGCCTGCGGCTCCTATAGGCTTGGCAGTAGTGCTCACCCTGACTCTAGTGAAGATATATATATATATATATATCGACTCTTGGCCTTCTTAGCTCCCAGTCAAAGAACCAAACTTCTTTCGTTTATTTCCATTCTTACCGACTTTCCCTAATAATTTCACTAGCATGGTCTCTGATTCTGCCTGCCCAGTGTGTTGACTTCGAAACCACGTAGACCATATAGCGAATGGCTTTTCAATCAAGAAAGTACAGTGTCGGAAGACGGTAACCTTTCAGCAACAAAGATATCGTAGGTAAATGCAGATGAGATATACTCGTTGTACCCTATCATATCCTATTGATCATCCCTCCAACCGCAACTTTTTTCAGGGCGTGGGTTCGGACAATGACCAGGTCTTGGTCCTAGCCGCGACGAATATCCCATGGACTTTGGATCCAGCTATCAGACGTCGTTTTGAAAAGCGTATCTACATTCCCCTTCCCGAAGCTCCTGAACGTGCAAACATGTTCAAGGTCAACTTGGGTACGACTCCACATACGCTTACTCAGAAAGACTTTATCTCCCTCGGAGAGCAGTCCGAAGGTTACTCGGGTGCAGATATTGGTATCGTAGTTCGAGAGGCCCTCATGGCCTTCCTTCTTAGCTCCCAGTCAAAGAACCAAACTTCTTTCGTTTATTTCCATTCTTACCGACTTTCCCTAATAATTTCACTAGCATGGTCTCTGATTCTGCCTGCCCAGTGTGTTGACTTCGAAACCACGTAGACCATATAGCGAATGGCTTTTCAATCAAGAAAGTACAGTGTCGGAAGACGGTAACCTTTCAGCAACAAAGATATCGTAGGTAAATGCAGATGAGATATACTCGTTGTACCCTATCATATCCTATTGATCATCCCTCCAACCGCAACTTTTTTCAGGGCGTGGGTTCGGACAATGACCAGGTCTTGGTCCTAGCCGCGACGAATATCCCATGGACTTTGGATCCAGCTATCAGACGTCGTTTTGAAAAGCGTATCTACATTCCCCTTCCCGAAGCTCCTGAACGTGCAAACATGTTCAAGGTCAACTTGGGTACGACTCCACATACGCTTACTCAGAAAGACTTTATCTCCCTCGGAGAGCAGTCCGAAGGTTACTCGGGTGCAGATATTGGTATCGTAGTTCGAGAGGCCCTCATGATGCCAGTTCGGAAAGTTCAGACTGCTACACATTTTAAGCGTGTAAGTCTACTCAGTGTTTTATGTTCGCCTTGAGTATATTAGCGGGTGTTGGTGGCGCAGGCCCTGAGACATTCCTCGTTGTAATTATCAATGACTTGTTTCTTCTTCAGGACCACTAGCTCGACATGGGATGCTGACAGCATACCCCAGTGTCAAAAAAACAACACTCTAATGCCAGCAGCATGTGGTAGTGATCCTGAGCTCAAACATCGACCTCCTGTTTTTCTCTCGAATCTGTTTGATCGCCGTTCCCTAGACTTCGGCAGCCTATCAGTACCTCAGTTTTTGTTTCATTAAGATGCTCCATCTAAACGACTCGCTTTGCTTTTATAGTGCCATGTAAAAACTGGAAGGTATTAGACGGACTCTTGAATCTTTGTCCCTCAGTTCCTCACTTCGATGTATTAGGTCTTCCGATACAGCCGCTGAAATCGTTGTTGTGTTTAAATACACCCATCCTTTGTTCTCAGTGTGTCACCGGATCAGCTCCGCTTTTCCTTCCTCCCAGGTCTCTGGTACATCTCCAACAGACCCAACAAAAACCGTGAACGACTTGCTAACTCCTTGCTCACCAGGTGACCCTGGGGCGATAGAGATGTCTTGGTCCGACGTGCCTAGCGACAAGCTCAAAGAACCCCCTGTTTCAATGGTACGTTTTACCCACTTCTTGCCCCCACTCTCACCAATTCACAACTTTCACTTTTGTTTCTATTCATCACATTTGTCATGATCCGTTGTCTGCTAACCATCGTTTCTCTGGTAGATATGGGTGAGAGCAAACATTTTTGCATGTCCTATAGGTTTTGCCAGTCTTTAGATTATGAATAGTATACACTGCTGCTGTGATCTTGATACCCACCTAATCTGATTCCCAAACGGTGAGGAGAAACTAAACTCGGAACCGAGAACTCATGATAAGTGGAGGATAGGCGCGATGTCCTGGACGTTCATGTTAGTCTCCGCAACTGACCTGATTCCTTATGGTCAGCGTGTTTGTTTCTTCGTTTTCGGGTCATATCTTGTTCACTCATGAAAGTCTTTCGGATCGTGCGTGAATCGGTTTTTACCAGTCTTACTCTCTCTACAGTTCCATAGACGAAACAACTTAAACTCGTGTTTCGAATTATTTCTTAAGCAATCTGTATAGAGGCTGGTGTTTGTCGTTCTCTGAGGCGAAATAGCATCACTGTTCTACAACTTTTTCAACTCCGTTCGGTTGGTTTCAGCTTCTACAAGCAATCGTCAGCAAGAAACTCACGAAGCATAGAATGGTTCTGCTATCAGCACACGCACACACACACCAGCTTTGCCGTATGTTTGGGAACTATCCTCGTTGCAGAGGATGCACCGAACTAGGCATACCTTAACCTGTGTTACATTCATTTTATCTGTTTTCACCTGTGTGGTGCCTAGCTAAGTGAGACAGAAATGTCAGTCGTCTTGTTCGTCAGCGTCCACAGCCATTCATCCTGCGGTTTCCATCCAGCTTACTGGTGGATGCTAAGTTCAGTTATCAAGAATGGCATTTTCTTCCGTTAACTTGTGGCCTCACTGCCCAGAGTTTGTTTTCACCCCGCCGGTTCCTCAGAAGTGCCCTTTCTGTAGATAAACCCTTGGATCGAGATGGCCCAAGTGGTTGGACCGCGAATTTACTGATCACAAGGTCCGTGGTTCGAACCCAACGTCTGCCTCTCGACTACCCCTGTCTAGGCTTGGGCAACCTGGCAGTATCCCAGCCCTCGTGCAACCTTCGGGTGGCATGGCATTTAGGCACCGAAAGGGTGCTACAGCTGGACGATAAACCCATAGAACCATTTGAATTGTCGATTCCAAAAAGATCGCCATCCAGTTCTGGTCCCCATATTTCTTTCTTTCCAAATGATGATTAGACTCTTGCTCTAAGACTTAGTCGACCACTGTTTCATATAAGATTGCTGTTTTCGGTTATACTAAAGACTATGGGCCGGGAATGCATCATTTGCTCAACGCCTTTTATCCGAATCCAGGTTTTTCAATACTGGCAAAGCCTGTATCCTCGTTGTAATGGGAGAGTATGCAGTGTTTGTACCACTCCGTCTGTGTGGTTCGATTGATTCATCTGGGATTGAAGAGCTATGATACTACGCCAGATGACTATTCGTGCACGCCGTGTACATAAGTGGGTGCATTCACCAGTAGATGGAGAACTGCATATGGCCTTCACCAACAGCTAAATATAAACAAAGCAACCATTTAGTTTGCTTCGTTGGTTATACACCACTTTCAGTTCCACACGCGTTATTCGCGAAGGAATTGCCCTTTGTCAAGCATTGAATGTTGATCTTTGTTCGGCCTGGAACAGTTGGAAAGTGACGATTTAAAGAATTATTGTTCCAAAACAGTGCAGACGTCTCCGCAATTATTATTATTATATGTTTGCGCAGTTCTCACTGAAAGATCCACCACAATGATCGATAAAAGTCATGCAGTAAAACACATGACGTTCTTTAGAAATGAGCAGGGTGAGACCAATTCGCATGTAGAAGCTTCCAGCTTGGTCTCCTCTTAAGAACAAAACAGCCTCAGTTTTCGTACTTTTTCCCTGTGCTATTGTTTATTTACATATTTCGTCCTTTTTCGTTGGCTTCTATTCGTCATCTTCCTGTATTTCCGGATGTTATCGCTTTATCTTATATTTTCTTGTGTTCGTTTATCCTCCGTATTTTCCTTAGATTGATATGCTGCAGGCTTTACAACGGAATAAACACACAGTGGCACAAGCTGACTTAGACCGACTGGAACAATTCACCCGGGAATTTGGTCAGGAGGGCTCTTGATCGCTAAATCGTGTGACAATCGGTGGCAACGTGCTTACACCGTCATTCTTCTTTGTTCGTGGCCTTCCTGCTCTGCGAACTGCCCCGTTCCCTATCGCATTGATCGTCACACGTTCTCACCCTGGCTGCCATTTTCCCAGTTACGCTAACTTACTAGTGCAGAATCGACTCTACTCATTTGTTCTTTTACCCGTCCTCAGACCGGATAAGTGCTTTTTCTGAAACTGTGGTGCCCGGGATATTTGACTCTGCACATTTATTGAGTATGTTTATTACTGTTGGGGTATGCCATCTTCCTCACGAGTCCCCCTTTGAAATTGATCCCCTTCTTAGACTGTATTGTTTCCGCGCACCACAAGGATCCCTATGACAGAGTTCCAGAACCACATCTGATTTTCTTGACGCGCTGGTATTCTATGCAACTGGGACGTGGCCCATGAACCATGAGGTCTAATTGTTTTCCGGTTGCGTATTTTGTCTCACTCCTGTCTGATTTTCTTTAATGGACGCCGTTCATGATATGGATTTATCCAAGCTGAACTCTTACCAGTTATTAGTACATTGAATTGATGCTTTTCGTGTTTGAGACGCTCAATCTTTTCGCAGCAGAACCTTTGGCTGGTCTCTGAGCCCTCAGTACCCACAGAACTATGACTGGGTATTTTACAGTATCCAAATCCCTCTCACGACTATACTCCTGAATAGGGGCCGTCAAGAAGAAATCCACTGTAGTCTCACAGAAGAGGCTGGCTCCGAGATAGAAAATACCTAGTTGATCTTTGGCGGTGGATATACGCTTAGTTGTTTTTCACGACAGAGGTGTTCTAGGTTCCTCGGGTGGGGACAGGGACGACCCATCTTTGGGAACCTCTTTGCATTTGGCTCTTTCAGGAGCACATCAGTGATTGAATTTTAGTGTATCAAGTCGCGGTTGCACTTACTTTCAGTGGCTTTTTATTAGGGTTAGTTGCCAGGCCTGCTAATGACGTTCTGTGAGTTCATTTGAAAGTTCCTCTGCCCCCCCCCCCCCTCAAGCGAATCAAAGTTGGCGATCCAATTGAAGTCAGTCACTGTTGGACTGCCCGAAGCATTCTGTTGTTGTTCCATCCTCGTTGGTAATAACGGGCGATGCGCATTTCACAGACCCCCAGAAACATCCGGACCCAAGGCTCCCTGGCGAAGGCTTGAAAACCTTTTTATTGGACTATGAGTAGCTGATCAGCAGTGTGATTAACTCGTGATCAAATGCCACTATCTTTCAGTAGGGGTCCACGTCATGTGGACCAATGTTAGAAAACTCTTCGACTGGCGGATTCTCAGTTTGGAAACGTCTACGGAGTTTTCTGTTGCAGCTACTAACCAAGAGGTCGTTGGTTCAAACTTCCCTAGGGTTTCGTGAGGCGCGTACTGTTGGTGATTCCCAACGAAGACGAAGCGGCTTCACAGTAGTTTCAGTATTTTACCATAGGTTAACCTCACTTGTAGAGTTGCATTTAAACTAAAGCTCCAACATTTCCTCACTATATGCATATTCTCAGTTCATTAGTGGGCTGAACAGCGCCAATCGAATCATAGATAGGTTGTTTTACTCGCTTGTAGCTAAACAAGTGGTAGTGCGTGAGAAAGTCTAGCCGTTCCGCTTTTCTGAACATCTTGAGGACATCCTCTGGATATTAACAGTTTTGATACTCTATACGGAAGGTATCCCCGAAGCTTAGCTGAGTGAGCACTTTTCCAGCTCAGAATGAGGGTATATTTCGCATGCATATTTGAGTGACGGGTTAGATTTTTGCTTGTTTTACTCGCCTACCTGGTTGCAGCTCTGGAGGAAGCGTATTCAGTTGGCAAATGTGTTGCAGTTCGCCCCCAAACTTAACAGCGACAAAGTATGACAGAACAGATTGAAGATTGCTTCGTTGTTGGTCTGTTCGCCGAGCTTCGTAGTTAGATTGCATAAGATAGACCGCGTGGTAATGTGTTTTGTCGCAGGCATTCGTGGAGGAAGCGAAGTTGCTGTCGGGTAGAAGCCATTCGATATGCAAAAGTCCCCGTCGACGAGCTGTTTTGAGCGTAGGACGCCCGAAGATATTGGCGAACAAACGAACAACCAAGCAGCGCACTCGAGCTACCTACATTCCACAACATTGCCATTGAAGATTGCTTCCCCTCATAAAACCTGGCGATATATACTTTTTGCACAGATGTTGGTTTTTGTTCACCAATAGATGATCAAAAAAGCACAACTATTAGTGCCTTCCTCATGTTACGACATCCAGATAAACCTCATCAAAGTTCTCAATATACTCCTTACAATCGAATTTCAAATAGGATACAGAGTAATGTGTTGATGTACCGTACAGAAGTATAAGACTAACCATGGCTGCTGGATAATTAATTGCTCAGCTAGGTTCCCTTCCTTCCATTTATGATGAGTCATTCGAGCGGGTTGTTCGAAAAGCAGGAGCTAAACTTCGACAAACCTGTTTGGTTTCCCAATATCTGGATGCCTAATTTCTCCCCTACACACCTGTAGATTACCCAAAATAGATATCAGGGAATGCTTGCCAAACTTCCAGGTTTTTAGAAATGTGGTGGATATTTTCAAACTACTAGAAAAACATAAAACGCCACAGTTGGCTGCGGTCCATGCCCGGTCGACCAGTACAGGTCGTGTGAAGTCCCCGAATACTGTGTTCAGGACACCGTACCGTTCGGTCAGCTACCGTTAGGAGTAACAAAGTGAAGGCACCGCAAATAAGTGATGGGCGTTCTAGGCGCGAACTGACGTTCAATCGGAGTGTCCCACACGAGCAATCCACCGGATCTAATTCCCGCCATCAACAGCCGAACCCGTAATAACGGCGTCACGTATTTTTCCACGTTTGTCAGCTGATACACAATTAACGTCGCACGCAATTGGATGGACTGCTGTTGTTAGTGTGACTCCGCCCCACATTATAAATGAGTTTCAAAAATACCCGTTTTTGTTGATTTTACAGCCCTCAGGCTGAATGGAAAATTCCTAGTGGTTAACGGCCCTATGAAGTCTCTAGTAAACAGACCAAACAGACTAATGTAAACCAGAAACAAAGTCACAAGGAGAAAAACCAAGGTAAATCTTGACTCACAGTTCACGATAGGAGAGAGTTCTACCTTCCTAGTATTCCAAATCTCTGTATGTGCTTCCTTAGAAGTGGCTGAAGAGGAATGGTACTTCTAAGTACACCAGAAGCTTTTCTGTGCTCCATATTGTTTTTGTGCTAACGCATCATATAAAGTGAGGTGATTCCGATAGTTTAATGTAGTTACAGCTGCAGCCAATTGATCTCTGGAAGGTGATCAGCTGGCAGTTTTCATTTCAGCGTGGTCAACAAATTCTTCTCGAATAGGGTCTTCATCCACTCTCTTGATCACTGATTTTTTCATGCATGTATCGGACACTCCGTTCACTGGCCTTTGTATAACCATCGAAGTACATTGCGCATTCGGTTGAAATCCACTGTGCAGTCTGTCCCTTTCAAACAATTCTTTACATCCCGCATTCGGTTGAAATCCACTGTGCAGTCTGTCCCTTTCAAACATTTCTTTTCATTTGATGGCTGTTTATTTCAAAATCTTTTGTGAAATTTTATTTGATTTTGAGACAGTCCGTCACATTTACTCTACGAAAAGTGCGTGGAGCCTGCGTCGGCAACTTTGCTCATAATCTGGCGTTACCGACAAGCAAGTGGCTTCGGGGCCGGATCGATAAAAGCAGATAATCGAGGGAAGCAAGAATTAGGAACCCGAGTAATATGCAGTTGGTCAGCAGGCCTGGGTGATGCGACCTCAGCATCATGTTCTGATCGTACTGGAGTCCTTCGGAACTCCCCTCGAGTTATGAGCGGTCCGGACACTGTTTCTCCCCCCTCCGTGCTACGATGTGTTTTCAGTACTCCGCGTCTGCAGGTTTACGTTCTACGAAAAGTGTCGGAGACTCGCTAACTTGTGAAACGTCGTCACACTCGTCCTGTGCCTACTTTCCAATCGTTCACTGATTGCCATGAATACGGTTGGGGCTGGATTTCTCGTGGAACCGGTCATTTTGTTCTCCATTCGAATGCTCCCAAAACACCTGGTGCCATGTCCTATTCACAGCCCTCGTGTTGGTGCTAAGACGAAAAGGCATACGGATGTCTGGCGCTATGGCGGTCCATTTGTCAATGTTTGTCACCACCGATGAAAGCGCCGTGGCCGCTCCTCAAACTACTCCATCCGTGCCTATCTCCGGGATTATTTCAGGTCAGCGAATTGCAATGTTCGAGCGCCCAGATGAACCAAGACAGCAAGTGTCTTGGGTTAGATCCTTGAATGACTCACACGTGGATATTTGCGGTACCCTAGAAATCTGTCTGTGGGGTTCAAGCTTAATTAGTTACTTCAATTCTCCATCAACAACTAGTTCTGCAACACAACGCTATGATCGTTCTTCCGTTTGCTGAACTCGGTAATCTAGTTAACAACCTCTCATAACTAACCTGGATGACGTAATCAGTATGTGGTGAGTTGATGTTGTGTAGGTGTGTGTACTTATTGATGACAAGATGTATGACGAGATTATCAGTACCGGGTGGAGTGAATCGCTCCAAAGTAAGGAACCGTTTGCCAGCTTTCTCCCTCTGCCTACGCACCTACTAATCAGTTCGGAAGTAGTTCAGGGTGAATTTTACATTCAGCTTATCAACCTCCGGCGAATGCCGCGAACCGAAGTTACCTTGGCGACTGTATTTGCAGTTCCGAGGTTGGCGTTTAAATATGTG